TCACACTTTTAAGCTGTTTCTAACCGTAGCTCAGCCCTGATCATAACTAACCCTTGCTAACCATAGCTAAGCCTAATCCTAGCTAATAAAAAACAAAAGATATACAGATATAAAAAAAAGATAAAAATGCATAAAGCAGTAATGCACACATAGAAAATATTTTATGTTTTATTGCACTCACAAGAATGTAGAGGATGTATCTCAAATGAAAACATGTTAAATCAACAATTCATACATGATTTGTGGACTTTTGCCAGAAAATAAAAGGTAACTATTTTTGTAAATTCATTATACAAAAAATGTTTTTACTGTCAATAAGTCCATCTGTTGTAGCCTTAGTTAATAATATTTTCAAATCCTTATTATAGAGGCCATTTTGACTCTCTTTCAGCTTTAATTTCTTTTATCTTGTGAAATTCTGTTTGCTTCTTCTAAATAGTATTCAATGGGCATTACAACTATTGCAAAATAAAGGGGGTAGCCTTTATCCACGCCATTTCCCTGGACATGTGTGCCTGATCTGACTCTGCGCCTCATGTAAGGTGGAGAAAAGATAACAATGAACAAATCATCTCTTTTTTTAAGGTTTTAAATTACTCATTATTTAAATAATATTTTGATTTGTTATAAAATGTCCCAGGTCCCTATTGACAAAATTCATGAAGGTTTCAATCTTATTTCCTTTTTCATTTGGGGAAAATGATTTTGGTTTAACTTTAGCCCGATTTGACTGGATGTGAAGTCCCTGTACTCTAGGATCTTGTTAAAGATATCTTAATGAAAAATGTTTATTAAAGAAATTTTCTTACAAACTCACTCTACTGGTATATGGGTGTCTAGGATCTTTTAGTTGCACAGCCATCTGGGATAAGGAAAAGTTGTCCACACTCCTTGTTCAAGTGCAAAACATCCTCCTTTTATTATGGCAGCTCACATGAGATCAACCAAAAAAAAAAATTGCTTATCTTTCTTTAAAACTGGTGAAATTCTGTGCACCATTTTTAAAGAAAGATATTGCAGAACTATAAAAAGTGCAGAGGCGAGCTACAAAATTAGTAAGGTAGATGGAAAACATTAGTTATAAGGAAAGGCTAGCAAAGCTGGATTTGTTTTCTTTATAAAAAAAAAAATATATCTGCATTACAAGGGATCTGATAGCACTGTAGAATCAATTCAGAGTCAGTGCAAACCACTATGTGTAAACCTGTTCATTAGCAGGAATATACAACAAACAAGAGGTCACCCATTGAGACCAGAAGAGAGGCGTTTTTGTATACTGCAGAGGAAAGGGTTGTTTACAGTAAGAACAATAAAGATGTGGAATTCTCTGCCTAAATTGGTTTTCTTATCAGATTCTATAGATAATGTTTAAAATAGGCTTAGGTGCTTTTTTTTGCATAAACAGAATATTCAAAGATATAATTGATATGTATGTAAACAGGTCTGATATGTATGTAAACAGGTTGTTGATCCAAGGAGAAATCTGATTGCCAATATGGAGTCGAGAAGAATGTTCCCTCTTTTTGTGGCATAATTGGAAATGGCTACAATAGTTTTTTTTTTTGCGATCTTTTGAATCAACAGCATAAAAGACGTGGCTTCAGGGTTAATCTTGATGGGTATTTATTTTTAAGTTGGATTACTATGTATCTATAAATTGCATACAGTGCTTTGATTCACTACTCTGGGGCTGCCTTTATCCCACTCTCCTGGGTAAATGTTGTACAGCAACCAAGGTGTCATATACACACCATTCAGTTCTTTCCCTAGTGTTCTTTCACACTATATAAAACAGAAAATCAGGCAGTTGGTTACGAGTAAACTTTAATTCTTTTGTTCAACAAGTCTAAGTCTCTTAGCATTAGTGGTACTCCGGATGTACTAAAAATACCTAATCTCCGTTCTCTCTGCACCCATTTTTCCTTTGTACAACCATTTCTCCACTTACCCTTTGTTTCTTCCCTTGTGAATACAATTCTTCCAGAGGGGTAATTATGTTGCTCAGATTCACTATTGGTAGCTTGGGAGAAAATGAGTGAGTTATATTCTTGCTTCTTAGGTCTAGCCTATTATCTAAAAAAAGTATTGGTTAATAAGTGAAAAACATTGGTTTGTCCTTTTCATAGTCAATCATCATTTCCTCATCTCACCCAGTGCATGTATGACAGCGAGATACAGGTTTTATTGGCCACCTTAAAGAGATAAAATCTATCCTAGAATGTTCCACATGGTTAAGAACTGCAAGGCTGCAGTGAACTACCAAAATCTCAATAAGCAGGACATTCAAAGCTAATATAAGGTCTTTAGAGACTGGATTGTGATGACATAAGAAGATGTAATTATAAACTGGACAGAATTATTGTGTCACATGATCCTAGTTGGGATCCGATTTCAAGTACTCCTGTTGTTGTCAGATATCACCTTTGTTTTATGCTGTAGGCTTCCAAATTCAGTTAACCTGCGGCTGCCACATGAAGGAACATTAATGACAGGCACTCTGTTAAAATAAATAAATCAAGCAAAATGCAGTCAACTTGTTAATGGAACTTACACACTGGCTATTGGTTGTGCATGCTCTGAGTGGTGCATGCTCTATTCCCTTAAAAATATCACAATAATTTTGGTTTATTTCTTGTAAACCTACAGCTGTATTCCCATTGTATTTGGTAAGGATTGGCTGATTGCAGGGGGGAAACTGTAAACTTAATTCTAATTTCTTTCATAAATTCAGTGTATTTGTTGCATTGGACACTAGTGGTGGAGGGGTTGTATATATACAAAGACAGTAATTTAACCAAAGTAAAATAAAGTGTTTTATGATATGTTACCACTCACAATCAGGGCTGGCTGGATTAAGGCTTAGGGCTGTGGCAGGGGTCCTGGTACTTCCATACTGTATTAGATGATGTGCAGTAAAACCCTTTCTGCTTTTTACCACTGTGAGTGTTCAGCTTTATGTTCTCTCTCTGCTGTATTTCCAGGGGAAATAGTCTGCTATTGTCTGGTATCTTCCCCAATCAGCAGACTCCTTCGTAAGATGACATCATCAGACTTAGCCAGTAAACTATTTGTTGACCAAACAACAAGATATTTATTAGAAACCAGTAAGAACCATACCATTACAAACCAGGTGTAGCCTAAGACCTAGTAAAATGTAAATGAACATACTAAGTTTTATTGCAGTGTTGGCTAATAGATGCATATTTTCACATACTAGTAATCCCTTGCAGTTTGACTAGCATACATAACCAAAAAATGAAAGTGTAGGTACACTAAAAACTGGAATGGGGGTGTTAATTAATGAAGACCAGGAAAAGGCAGAAATTTTAAATAACAATTTCTCCTCCGTATATACTAAGGAAGAACCCATGGCAATAGATGTGCAAATGATTGCTGCTAAAAACTTGCAGAATAATTGTAATTGGTTAACTCAAGACAAGGTGCTGCAGCAACTAAAGAAAGTTAATATAAACAAAGCTCGATGGCCTGACGGTATTCATCCACGAGTACTTAAGGAACTAAGTGTAGAAATAAGCGAAACTCTGTTTTTAACCTTTCAAGATTCTTTTCTTTCAGGAAGTGTTCCGGAGGATTGGAGGAAGGCAGATGTGGTTCCTCTATTCAAAAAGGGTTCAAAATTCTGCCTGGAAATTATAGACCTGTGAGCTTAACTTCTGTGGCTGGGAAAATATTTGAAAGGTTATTAAGGGATAATATTCAAGAATTCCTTGAGAATAACATGGTTATCAGCAAAAATCAGCATGGTTTTATGAAGCACATGTCATGTCAAACAAACTTGATTGCGTTCTACGAAGAAGTAAGTAGAAGTATAGATCAGGGTGTTGCAGTGGATGTGATCTATTTGGATTTTGCCAAGGCATTTGATGCAGTTCCACACAATCAATTAGTGTTCAAACTCAAGGAAATCGGTCTAGATGAAAATGCTTGTTCTTAGGTAGAACATTGGATTAAAATTAGAGTACAAAGAGTTTTCATTAATGGTAAATTTTCAAGCTGGACAGAGGTGGCAAGTGGTGTCCATTAGGGTTCTGTTCTCGGACCCCTTCTATTTAACATGTTTATAAATGATCTTGAAAAAAGGATTAAAAGTCATATTTCAGTGTTTGCAGATGACACAAAACTCTGTAAAGTGATACAATGTGAGCAAGATATTACTTTGCTGCAGAGGGATTTAGATAGACTGGGGGACTGGGCAAATTAAATTTAATGATGAAAAATGCACAGTTATTCACTTCGGTGTAAAGAATGCACAAGCAACGTATACCCTTAATGGAAGCGAATTAGAGATAACAACACATGAAAAGGACTTGAGAATTGTTATAGACAACAAACTATGCAACAATGTTCAATGTCAATCAGCAGTGGCTAAGGCCAGTAAGGTATTGTAATGCATGAAAAAGGGCATTCATTCTCTGGATGAGAATATCATTTTGCCTCTTTATAAATCATTGGTAAGACCACATATTGAATATGCTGTGCAATTTTGGGCACCAGTTCTAAAGAAGGATAATATGGTACTAGAAAAAGTGCAGAAGCAGGCTACAGAATTAATAAAAGGAATGGAACATATCAGCTATGAAGAAAGGTTAACAAATTTAAACCTCTTTAGTTTAGAAAAACGTCGCCTGAGAGGGGATATGATAACATTATACAAATATATTCGGGGCCAATACAAACCATTGTGTGGAAATCTATTCACAAACCGGACTTTACATAGGACACAAGGTCATATGTTTAGACTGGAAGAAAGAAGATTTCTTCTAAAGCAAAGAAAAGTGTTTTTTTACTATAAGAACACTAAGAATGTGGAATTCTCTGCCTGAAGAAGTGATTTTATCAGAGTCCATACAGATCTGCAAACAGCAACTAGATGCATACTTGTAAAAACAGAATATTTAAGGATATAATTTTTCAAAGTAGGGTAATAGCTGCTTGATCCAATGATAAATCTGACTGCCATTCTGGGGTCAAGAAGGATTCTTTTTCTAGTTTGTTGCAAAGTTCGAAGTGCCTCAAACTGGTTTTTGGTTTTTTTGCCTTCTTTTGGATCAACAGCAAAAACAAATGTGAGGAAGGCTGAACTTGATGGACACAAGTCTCTTTTCAGCTATGTAACAATGTAATATATACCCGTGTATAAGTCGAGAAATTTTAGTCGTAAACTTCATTTTAAAATGCAGAATCGACTTATCTACAGGTCAGTGCTAGTTTCGATAGATAACAGGCAGGGGTATAAGTTTAAGCGGGGTTCGGGGGCAAGCGCAGCTGACTCAGAGATCCATACCGTCAACCAGGAAAAGGCAGAAAGGCAGCCAACCAGGGAATGCTTGTTTGTGGTTAACAGCCGGGGTGGTCGGTGATTACAATGTGTTAACAAGGAGGACCATACATAGTCTGTTCAGTAACCGAACAGAAGGGGAACAATTCCATTCTAATGCAGTATTGCAAGCATGTAAAACTCACGGCCCGTGGCCCGCATGCGGCCCACAATGAACATCTTTGCTGCCTGGCGAGCCGCAAGTACATGCTTGGTGTTAAAGCAGCGTAGGCACCTGCTTTCTCCATATTGCAGGTGTCTACTCTGCTAAAATTTACCCGGCTAGAGAGGAAACAGGACGCTGGCGGCAGCGAGGAAGCTCAGTCTTCCTGTTTCTCACTGTTCTATCGTGCGCGCCGTCTTTAGTGATGCCAGGTGCCGGAATATGATGAGCTTATTTGCATATGACTACATAGAAACCCTTGCAGTAGTGAGAGCACTGTTAAAGTGAGATTTCTGTGGGAAAAGCAAGTTTTATGGTTTGACTGGTGTGTGTATTTGTGTTTAGCAATGTATTAAATTAACTATATATATATCTACACCAATCACAACTCTTTATATAAGAAAGCTAATGAAAGTACAAGACTGACAGATAGACATGAGAGGAGGGCAGCCAAGAACTGGCTCACATCTTGCAGAGAGTTGATGCTAAAAAAAGAACACTGAGGAATGTTTCCTTATTTCCCTTATCAACACTGAAAAGGTTCCTTTTAAAGTGTGCCTTTATGATATTACTGCTTATTGATTTTTTACTTTGTCAAGTAGTTTATCTAACAGAAAACAAAAATGACCATAGTGTTTCTTTAAGTATACCGGGCCTTATCTTTAAGGCCTGATTGACTGTTTCTTAAAATATTCAATTTTATCTTCAACATCGGTTCTTGATGTTTTTCCTTTTTCTTCATTCCTATTTGGTTTGTGCTCTGTTGCTAACTTTAGATGGGTATGGCAGCTGTCAAATTGATTGTATGACTTGATTCCCATTAATATCATAAATGACTAAACATACAAAACTTAGTTGTTAATGTTGGAAGAGTCATAATTTATCCCAGAGTTGTTGTGAGTTGATTCCTCTTTGTCTTAAGCAGGGATTCAGCTCAAGATTTCTTCTCTAAGGAACTTGCTGAGCAGGAGTCTATTTCCCTGAATAAACAATAGATCAAGCTGAGTGGTGAGTCTGTGTCACTTGTGTCAGAAAATGGAGACGAACAAAAATGCCCTATAAGGGGGGGCGGAGCGGGGCCAGACCGACGAGCTGGACGGTCTCAAGAAAGATCAGCTCATACAGTCTACTAAACTTTAAGCCTTTAACCCTTGATTCCCGACCTAAAAGCAGACAGACAGCAATGGTCCTCGGTGCAAAGGGGGCACTGGATCCAGGGAGAGGCTGGCTCCTCGAGCTTTAGTCCCCTGGAGGAAACATTTTCAATATCCCAGTTGGGGCCTTCTCCGGCGGTGAGTGGAGCGGACGGCCGCTACTCCGCTATCCTGCCTAACAATGCCCAGCAAGAGGCCCAAATCTGCGTGGAACTGGCCTTGTTCCCCCCCTCTGGACCGGTGGGGGTGATCCCGGTCCTCACCCTGTGGCCCCGACCGTTGCAACGCAACCAAGGCCCAGCGACAATACCACCCCGATCTGTGGCCCGGGCACTTCATCTAAAATGGCGGATGCTATGTGCGCTGAAGGCAGAGGGAGGGAATGTTTTCTCCACGCGCTCACAACAAACAGCACAGCTGCCAGGCACAAGCTGGCCCGATACCAACAGCAGCCAGCTATAAGCACCCATTATAGCACCTTGGCTGGCCAGAAGCGGGCGGAAGAGATGGAGGGACAGCAGGCCAGCACTCGCATTATAACAATGGCTAATGACACTCAGCAGGCGTAAACCTACTCTCCAGATGAGACAGGGAGACGGTCTCCCATGCAAGGTGCCGCACACTTCTCCTGGATTGCCATACAACACTTCCCAGCCAGCCCTGACAGAGCCGCGAAGCATACTGACAGCCGGCTTGCAGCGGGACCATGCTAAGCTCACAGAGGGAATCGGCTAAGCAGAGACTCGTGAGGATGTTTTGCTTATGTGCACCACCGACCCAAACCTACCTAGTATGGGTATTGCACATACGAGATCCAAGCTACCACGGTAAGCCACCCTCATAAGCCACCCTCATTAACCATATTTAAGCTTGGCTACAAGGGCCTCTAGGGTGAATTCTTGTCTCCCAGCTACCTACAAGCAGCATGCATTGCCCACATATATCGCTCTAAACTGGACAGATTAAACTACATTATCATAGTCTGAAACTAACCTTCCTAGCTACTTTTAATATATATTAAGCTACAGTTAATCGACAATGTCTATAGTTAGCTTGCGCAAAATATCACGATGCGCATATGTTCAGACATTATGTCTTTCTTTTCAGACCCATACATGCTTTTACTTAAGCTCACTTTTCAAACGCACTCTGAGATGGCTCACATGTTTTCAATCATATGTTTAACCAGGCATGCAGTATATTATTATTTATATTATTATTTTTAATCATTTTATTAATGCTCGACATAAACTACACAATGTGAGAGGTGTATCATCTATTATGCTAAACCAGCAAGCTCCAGGGCGAATATACAATTGCAAGAAAAAGTATGTGAACCCTTTGGAATGATATGGATCTCTGCACAAATTGGTCATAAAAAGTCACAACAATAGACTATCACAGTCTGCTTAAACTAATAACACACAAAGAATGAAATGTTGCCATGTTTTTATTGAACACACCATGTAAACATTCACAGTGCAGGTGGAAAAAGTATGTGAACCCTTGGATTTAATAACTGGTTGAACCTCCTTTGGCAGTAATAACTTCAACCAAACGTTTCCTGTAGTTGCAGATCAGACGTGCACAACGGTCAGGAGTAATTCTTGACCATTCCTCTTTACAGAACTGTTTCAGTTCAGCAATATTCTTGGGATGTCTGGTGTGAATCGCTTTCTTGAGGTCATGCCACAGCATCTCAATCGGGTTGAGATCAGGACTCTGACTAGGCCACTTCAGAAGGCATATTTTCTACTGTTTAAGCCATTCTGTGGTTGATTTACTTCTATGCTTTGGGTCATTGTCCTGTTGCAACACCCATCTTCTGTTGAGCTTCAGCTGGTAGACAGATGGCCTTAAGTTCTCCTACAAAATGTCTTGATAAACTTGGGAATTAATTTTTCCTTCGATGATAGCAATCCATCCAGGCCCTGACGCAGCAAAGCAGCCCCAAACCATGATGCCCCCACCACCATACTTCACAGTTGGGATGAGGTTTTGATGTTGGTGTGCTGTGCCTTTTTTTCGCCACACATAGGGTTGTGTGTTTCTCCCAAACAACTCAACTTTGGTTTCATCTGTCCACAGAATATTTTGCCAGTACTGCTGTGGAACATCCAGGTGCTCTTGTGCAAACTGTAAACGTGCAGCAATGTTTTGTTTGGACAGCGGTGGCTTCCTCTGTGGTATCCTCCCATGAAATCCATTCTTGTTTAGTGTTTTACGTATTGTAGATTCGCTAACAAGGATGTTAGCATTTGCCAGTGACTTTTGTAAGTCTTTAGCTGACACTCTAGGATTCTTCTTCACCTCATTGAGCAGTCTGCGCTATGCTCTTGCTGTCATCTTTACAGGACGGCCATTCCTAGTGAGAGTAGCAGCAGTGCTGAACTTTAATCCATTTATAGACAATTTGTCTTACCGTGGACTGATGAACAGCAAGGCTTTTGGAGATACTTTTATAACCCTTTTATGCAAGTCAACAATTCTTAATCGTAGGTCTTCTGAGAGCTCTTTTGTGCGAGGCGTCATTCACATCAGGCAATGCTTCTTGTGAAAAGCAAACCCAAAACTGGTGTATGTTTTTTATAGGGCAGGGCAGCTGTAACCAACACCACCAATCTCATCTCATTGATTGGACTCCAGTTGGCTGACATCTCACTCCAATTAGCTCTTGGAGATGTCATTAGTCTAGGGGTTCACATACTTTTTCCACCTGCACTATGAATGTTTACATGGTGTGTTCAATAAAAACATGGCAACATTTCATTCTTTGTGTGTTATTAGTTTAAGCAGACTGTGATTGTCTATTGTTGTGACTTAGATGATGATCAGATCACATTTTATGACCAATTTGTGCAGAAATCCACATTATCCCAAAGGGTTCACATACTTTTTCTTGCAACTGTACTTGCTTTAGATATTCAGACATGTAACTTTATTTAATCTTAATGTCAGTTTGCTTAGCTGCTTTTCATATTTGTTTGTATTCTTTTCTTGATAACGTTTTACCCAAAGACAAGCTTGATTATTGTAAAAATTTGTGCAGCCTTAATCTATGCCATATTTCTGTTACCCACGAATGGCCGGTATCTGCTATTGTGGCATTATCAGCAAGTATGAATCATTCTTCATGCATGCAAAAATAAAGAATTTAAAAAAAAATTGCCCTGTAAATAAATTGTTACATAAAGTCCACATTAAGGATAAAATGTTTTTATTAAATTATTGCATGAAATAAGTAAGTCATATGGAAAAATAAAATACAGGGTGGAGATACATTTTGATAATAGATTTGCCTTCTCTCCAGTGGCTGGTGAAATTTTAATATGGTAGGGCACCAGACTCCTCACCTGGAATTTAAGTCCTTCCTATACAGTACAGAGATACTCATACAATACAGAGAGCTGAGCACAATACAGGGATGCTCATACAATAAAACAAGCTGGACACAACATAAAGATATCTATAAGGCACATGGAGCTGAGTATAATACAGATATAACCATACCACAAATAGAGCTGAGTAAAAAAAAAAAAATAGATATAATACACAGAGCTGGGCACAATACAAAGATACCCATACAACAGAGTAAAATGCAGATAATTAACACACGGAGCTGGACACAATAAGGAGATACTTATAA